GAAGCACAAAGAAGGATAATGAACACTCATTGTCTCCATATATATGGATGACAGTGTTTACACAGGGAGTTATGCTAAAATGATTGAAGACTTCAAGTGTGATATGATGAATAAGTATGAGATGAAAAATTTAGGTTTATTGCATCACTTCCTTGGAATTAGGGTTATTCAACAAGAAGGAAGCATTTTCATTCACCAGAAGAAATATGCATTGAGCTTACTTGACAAGTTTGGATTGAAGAACTGCAAGTCTGTGTCAATTCCTTTAACTCCCACTGACAAGCTAAGGAAAAATGATGGCAGTGAGCTTGCATATGAAGAATTATACAAGAAAATTGTTGGCAGTATCTTGTACTTGACCACACCAAGACTTAACATCATATACTCAACATGTGTACTTGCAAGATATATGCATTGTCCTACCACCAAGCATCTTGGCATTTCCAAAAGGATTCTGAGATATGTGCAGGGTACTATAGACTATGGAATCAACTACAAGAAAGGAAATGTAGCTTTGCTCATAAGTTTTTATAACAATGATTGGAGTGGAGATGAGGATGACATGAAGTCTACATCTAGTTATGCCTTCAGTTTTGGCAGTGGTGCATTCTCTTGGGCCACTGTGAAGCAACAAAGTGTTGCTCTCTCTCTCAACTACAGAAGCAGAATAGATTAGTGCCTCTGAAGCTACAACTTAAGCTATATGACTGAGATTTGTACTGCATAACTTTGGTGAAGAACAAATTTAACCTAATACTTTGATATGTGACAATACTTCTACTATTGCCATGCCAAAGAACTATGTTTTCCACCAGAGGTCTAAGCACATTAAAAGGTAGTGTTGGTTGATTAAGGTCTAAACTATCATTTCTTTATTTATGTAAGTTGCTAGTCCATGTGACAATAAGTTGTTAAGAATCAATTGCTGAGATTAGCCCATTATATGTTAGGCTCAGATGTGAGCAAGTGGCAAGATCTTAGAAGATTTTGTAATGAAGGGTGGGATGAGCTCATAGGCTTTCCTAGATTCTCTCATTACCCAACGGCTCTTTTTGTACAGTTTGATGAATGAAAGCATACACATGCAGATGAGCATATTGGTTCTTCGTGAGAATTAATCAAATTCTTTGCATCACCATTTTCCCTTCTCTCTGAGTTCTAGCTTTTCTTCTTCTAGCAATACTATCAAGTTTTTACAGATTCTATCAAACAAATGGTAGCAATAACAAAAATGGGCACCAAGACAACATGCATGAGACTAGATTCCTAAAAAAGACAAGTGCAAGTTAAGTCATTCTTATAGAAGCTACATTAATTAAATTCTCTTTCAAATGTATGGTTAGGCAGCAAGAGCTGCGTCACTGTTGAAAGAGGCTCAGTGGCCCTGTGGTCGAACCACCATGATTTCTGACACAAAAAATCAAAGATTAGTGCACAGGATGAGGAAGTAGGCTTCAAATCTGATTCCAATTTATTGTTTTCGAAGAAAAAAACTAGAGATAAGGAATCAGCCTCAGTCCCATGATTCTCACTCAGCACTGGCCAAGAAAGTCCTTTGTGGTAACCAATTTGTATGCATGCTTAAGATTATTTTCAATCAGAGTTCGATATGATCGAGGTCGAAGGTATGGATACTTTAGATTATTTGTTTTAGGATTTGTGGCCGCTGAGGAATATTTTCGGGATGTTTCCACTTGGCTAATTAAGCTCACATCTCCCATATTTTAGGGAATTTACTACTGTGTAAAGAATTTAATTTAATTTACTGTGTCATTTTTACATATGGGTTTTTTGTGGAAAATTATTCATGTAACTGGTAGAGTATATTGAGTGATGAATTAGATTGTGCCACTTGTGATGAGATTAGAAGATTTGTTAGTTAGTTGGTTAGACTAGTTTGATATGAACCAAGTATAAATAGTAGCATTCCTTGTATTACTTCCTCATTAAGAAAGATAATAACAAATACATTTTTCTTCATTTCTCCTTCTCTTTGAGCTCTCGTTCTTTCTTTCATCATTACATATCAAGATCTTCATCATATATAGATTAACATGATATCATAGTATGTTGTTCCACATGTAAAGCCAAACAACCTCACGCGCACCATATCACCCGATTGTGTTGTCCACGTGTTACGCTTTGAAAAGTTTCTTTAATTACTGCATATCAAGATCTTCTTCATATATAGGGTAACAATAGCAACACATTATCATAATTCTGTTCCGTGTGGGATTAAATTTACTCCAAATTTTTATTGAAGGATTAGATGACTAGTTATGTAGAATTGATTACGTTGGACAAAAGAAATGGAGTTTTGCAAATTGTTTCTACTATAATAGCTTCTTGGTGGTAACAGCTAGTGAGAATGACTACCAAGAGGAGAAGCCCCAAAAGCCTTCTACTGAAGAACCCTTTAGTCGCAATCACAGTATGCAAAGGAAGCCTCGCAAGGTGATGTTGACTTAGTAGAGCAAGGGCAATCTGCAATTAACAAGGTTTGTTGGCTATATATATTCATGTTCTGTCATATTGATGGTATACTTTGTGCCCATGCAGCGCAATGTTGTAACTCAAGTAGGTTAAACTTGGGATACATTGATAGTGTTGGCAGGCATTATATGCATTTTTATCTCAATTGTTAGGTATGCTTTGTACAACTTAGTCATGGATTAACCTTGTTCTTTGAGAACACATTCCAATATAACTAGGGAGAGTAAAACTTAGTTGAAATTAAAAAGAGGCCTCTCATGGAAACATTATGTAAATATCTGTGCAGATTGTACAATCATATACTATACTCTAGATAAAGTATGTTCAAAGTTTTGGAGCTCGTCTTGATAAAGTTGTTGTTTTTCGGGTCCGACTGCAGAGCGAGTGTAGAAAGTTTCTTAGGTAAATCTACTTTTTGTGTGTGTGTGTGTGTGTGTTTTTTTGAAGGTTTATTATTTGTTTATCCTTTATTTACTCATTTTATGTTTTATATTTTAGACTCAGACGACTTTAGGAAAACGACAATTCTACAAGACAATATCATTATAGCAACAGTTGGGTCATGATCAACATCAAGCAGAGTATCAAGACATTTAAGCTCCAATCTAATGAAGAATAACAACATATATTTTGAAGAGTTAATAAAAATGGTTTTTTCAAACTTTTTATTAACCAAAAACCATCTAATTACTTTATTTAATGAAAAAAACTTAAATTTAATTAAAAACGACACAAATTTAATATAATAAAAATAAAATAGTAAAAACCTGACATGCGGGACCTGCGCGTCCATCACACACACACACTATCTCTCCTCTCTGACTGTTTCTTAAATTGAACACTAAGTATTCCTGAAATTGAGCATGCGGTTTTAGTTGTTTTTTTTTTCTTTCCTTTTCTTTCTTTTGTCATTTTGATTAAATAAAGTTATTAGATGACTTTTTATTAAAATTCAACGTTATGAAGCCATTTTTATTAGTTTTCATATTAAACTTTACTTCCATGTGATGAGCCATTTAGAGCTTGTTTGGGAAGTGCTTTTAAATATTAAAAAGTGCTTTTAGAAAACATATTTTTGAAGTCAATTCTTAGTAAAAATGCAAGTTAATCCTAGAAAAGCACTTTAACTACTTCCTGCAAGAAGCACCAGTTATGTGCTTCTTGAATGAAACACTTTTTTTTTAAAATCCAAAAACATTTTCTTTAAAAGCGCTGTTTGTACCATACTTAGGGCCTCCGTATTTAGATCTCGTATAAATACTCGGGGGACTTAAATGTAATTATGTAATAAAGGAAGGGGAAAATATGTAATAAGTGAGGAGCCCTTATTCTATAAAAGGGACTCCTCACCCTCACAATTGGGAAAGGCCAATTCTTAGGCCTTAAGCTCCCTCATCCTCTCAAAGCTCTCACTCTCATATTCAAAGCTATCTCTCCTTCAGAAATACAATATCAGTGTGGACGTAGCCTAAACCTTAGGGTGAACCACGATACATCTTGTGTTATTTACTTTCTTGCAGATTCACGGTCGGATTTATGTTGTTCCAAGACCCCTCCGGTTTTATGCATCAACATTTGGCGCCATCTATGAGAATCGACACGAAAAGCTATGTCGATTTTCTTTCATTTTTTCATCTCACCACTGTGAATCTGCAAAAATCACAAAAACCCAGAAACCCACATTCACAAAAAAAAAAACCCCCACATTTGCCTCTCTCTACCCTACTCTCTGTAACCCACATTCATAAAAAACCCACATTTGCCTCTCTCTACCCTACTTTCTGTAACTCTGCTTTCTCTCTCTACCACATTCTCTGTAATCAGAGTGTAAGTTCTCTCTCTAAAACCTCACCATAGGAGAAGAAGCTAGACAAGTCGGCTCATCGATAACCAGTCTGAGACCTTCAGTGACGATCGGCTCGTCGCTAATTTCGATGATCAATAAGCTCCAGGATATTCTCGTGCCGGTGGTCAGCGACAAGCCGTAGATTTTGTTGCCTCAAGTGGCAGTCATGGGAAGCCAGAACAGCGGGAAGTCGAGTGTCCTCGACGCCCTCATCGGCAGGGTCTGGTCACTTGGCTCGCCGTCGCTCACAGAGTCATCGAGTTCGAGTTCGTCGTCGTCTTTCTCCTCTCTGTCTAACCCATGGTAAAGGACCTGATCTGTGCCTTTGACGACAAGGAGAAGGGTTGCTGGGCCTTTGTCCACTTGGTTTACCAGCTGGACAACGGGTCGGAGCTCCAGTTCACCCGAGCCATTACTCTTCCTCTTCTCTGTCTAACCCTTGGTGAAGGACAATGTTTCGAAAATGGAGGCTCAGTTGGCTAAGGGAGTTGTGCCATTTAATTTCTTGACGCCAATGAAGATTATTAGAGATGCAATTGTAGGGTTGGGGAACCCTGCTCCTATATTGGTTTCCGATGGGGCTAACACTATGGATGTGGGTCGGTCTGTGTTGGTTCAGACCGAACCGAAGACCAGGTTGGATGTAGGGACTTAGGGAACAATGGGGGTTGGATTGGGTTACTGCATTGCGGGTGCGGTAGCTTCTCCTGACCGGCTTGTTGTTGCAGTGGAAGGGGATTCAAGATTTGGGTTCAGTGCAATAGAAGTTGAGGATCGCGGGAGCTCAGGACGTCATAAAGGGCGAGCACCATTCTAAAAATTGCTGAACTCAGTGTCTTCCAAAGCTTCTAGAGAGTTAGCCAGTTCTTACCTAGGCCTTTGTGGCGGCTTTAGAGCAAAAAAATAGTGAGAGAAAGAAAGTAGCTGTGGCTTTCTTGGCCATCGGAGTGATATTCTCCCCGGAGACCTTTGGGTCGAAATCAGACGGTTTGAAATCGCCCACCCTCTCCACCTACCTAAAGTTGGCACATCTGCTCTGTTTCTCCACCACATTCGGCGCCGCTCTCTGGGTCACCTTCATAGGCGGCATCATCATGTTCAATAATCTTCTGCGACATCAGTTCGGGAATCTTCGGAGCAAGATGTTTTTGGCATACTTCACGATAGTGGGGATATGCCTTGTAGTATCAGCTGGGTCGTTTGGGTATTTGCATCCGTGGAGCTCTTCCTCTGTTGCCAATAAGTACCAGCTCGACTTTTTGCTATCTGCCTCTGCTTTCAATCTCACCAATCTCTTCGTCTTCACTCCCATGACCATCGAGACTCGCCCCACCGAGGACCAGGTGTGGGTCGCGTCGGATGCCCTGCGGAATGCCCATCCTCTTCACCGACAGACAAAAAGGTTTATACTTTGGCTGAGGTGACTGCTCATAGTTCCACTGCTAGGGCAATGATGAACAAACAGGAAGAAGATAAGATTCTTTTCTTATTATTAACTCTATTATCAATCCTTGTCTGCCATATGCAAAAGGGAAAAGAGAAAAGGAATACAGAAAGCAAAAGTAAGGAGCGGGGAGGTCAAGAAACAGAAACAAAAGCATAAAAGAAAAGAGAAAACGAAAGAAAAAGCAAAAGCAAAAAAAGGAAATGACATTATTCCCTTGTCTGTCATCTGCTAAAAGAAAGGAAAATAAAAAGAAAGCAAAATGGAGGCACATAGGGACACTGCAAAAGCAAGGAATAAACACCCCACCAAAAAACATGTAATTTATTTTTCTTATCTTTCGGAGACATCTGTACAACCCCATCATAGGGATAATAATAATAATAATAATAATAATAAACGGCAAAGCCCAAAATAAATGGGCTGGCATGTTGTGGAGGGCGAAGGCCCATAAGCCCAAAATAGCACCAACCAGGTGATCAAAAGTATGCCCAGTACTCCAAAATTATTCGACAACGTACCGCTATTACCACCAACCAGGTGATCAAAAGTACGTCCAGTACTCCAAAGTTATTCGGCAACCTGCTGCTATTACCACCAATTAGGTGATCAAAAGTACGCCCAGTACTTCAAATTATACATGAGCATTACTCATGTCAATCATACATAAACATTCATGAGCATCACTCATGTCAACATCTATGAGCATCACTCATGTCAATCAACATAAACATTCATGAGCATCACTCATGTCAATTAGCTTCAAAAGCTTCATTTACAAAAGCTCTAGCTTCAAAAGCTTCATTTATAGAGCTCCAGCTTCAAAAGCTTCATTTACAAAAACTCTAGCTTTAAAATCTTCATTTACAGAGCTCTAGCTTCAAAAAAGCTTCATTTACAAAAGCTCTAGCTTGAAAAGCTTCATTTACAGAGCTCCAGCTTCAAAGCTTCACTTGGAAAGCTTCACCTATAAAGCTTCAGTGCAGGGTATACAAATACTGCATTCGAACAACCGCCACTTTGGCCCATACACGGATTCAATTTGAAGTCTCCAGCCAACAGACTTTATTGACTGAAGACTTGGGGATTACATTATGTACCATATATTGGGCCTCAACTGGGCTCATAAAAAATACTTGGGAGACTTAGCCCATCATTTTTGTATTGAGGACTGAGCCCTTATTCTATAAAAGGGACTTCCTCACTTTCATTAGAGAGCACCTATTATTCATGTACTGAGGAGCGAACCCTTATCTTATAAAAATGACTCATTCCTCTTCATTAGAGAGCATCGTCACGAGCACCACTCCTAACCCATCACTTATGTATTGAGGAGCGAGCCCTCATTCTATAAAAGGGACTCCCTCACCTTCGACGCCGCAAGCCGAGCCAACCAAGGCAATATAAGCCACAAGCCGAGCAGCCTTACAACATGTGCTACTTCTAGTTGAGCATCATTTCAGATTGAGCACCGTCTCATATCAAGTAACAGTCTTAGACGACATCTAGTTACTTCGGCCCACACATGGACTGAATTTCAAGTCTCCAGCCAAAAGACTCTATTGACTGAAGACTTGGGGGACTACTGTTTGTACCATACTTAAGGCCTCCGTATTTATATCTCGTATAAATACTCGGAGGACTTAAATGTAATTATGTAATAAATGAAGGGGCAAATATGTAATAAGTGAGGAGCTCTTATTCTATAAAAGGGACTCCTCACCCTCACAATTGGGAGAGGCCAATTCTTAGGCCTTAAGCTCCCTCATCCTTTTAAAGCTCTCACTTTCATATGTAATACATGATCAATGCCAACACTTGGAAGGCTTACTCTGAGGTGATGGCACAGGCTTACAACCACGCCTCTACCGAAGCAAGGACATACTAAGGGAACCCCTATATGGTTAACCCCAATCGACAAGTGGGAAGTTGAAGTCAATTTCTACCAAGTGAGGACATATTGGCCATTCAGACAACCATTGCATCATCTTCTGCCTCATTTAGCTACTCGCTAAGTCACCAAATGTATCTGTCTCTTGGTAAGATGAATGATTTTTACTTTCAGTAAGCCCATTACAACAAGAGGGATAAAAGTTCGTATCAAGACAACCAGGGGTGAATGTACTGTCGACTATTATGACTATGGGGCCAAACCTCACTCTTTCAAAGTGAAGGACTAGGTACTGAAGGAAATGCTATTATAAGAAGGGATACACATTACAAATGTTTTGACTATCAACTGCTTAAGATCTTTTGTCACACAAGCCATTCAGCAAATATTTAAAGAAGAAGGAATTCAGACAACTTCTTCTGAGTCTTTTGCGTTCCTAGCACTTGAACACTTGGTCTACGCTACCTACCCTTATACTCAAACTCAGAGCTTCAACATGCGTACTTTGACACAAAGTATGTGATACTAAGTGTTACAACCAACATGGTTCACATATAAAAAGCATGGATCCCTTCATGCATAGCAAAACATTCATAAGCATTACTCATATCAATCAACATAAACATCATACATTCCAATACATTCCAACACATTCATACATAAACATCATACATTCCAACACATCCATACATAAGCCAACTTTACTTCGAAAGGGTTCAACATACTTTGTGTCTTCAACACTTACTACAATGTGCCTCGACACCTTGCCCTTATTCTCACCAACCATGTGATGAAATGTGAAGAAGGAACTCATCTTTATGCCACCAACTAGGTGATGAAATGTACAACCCATACTTTTCTTCATGCCACTAACCAGGTGATGAAATGTACAACCTGTACTCTAATATCATTTGGCAACTTGCCACTCATGCCATCAACCAGGTGGAAAAGTAACTCATCTTCATACCACCAACCAGGTGATGAAATGTACAACCCGTACTCTCCTTCATGCCACCAACCAAGTGATGAAATGTATAACCCGTATTCTAATATTATTTGGCAACTTGCCACTCATGCCACCAACCAGTTGAAGAAGGAACTCATTTTCATACCACCAACTAAGTGATGAAATGTACAACCCATACTCTCTTTCATGCCACCAACCAGGTGATAAAATGTACAACCCGTACTCTAATATCATTTGGCAACGTGCCACTCATGCCACCAACCAGGTGAAGAAGGAACTCATCTTCGTGCCACCAACCAGGTGATGAAATGTGATGAAAGAACTCATCTTCGTACCACCAAACAAGTGATGAAAGCAACTTACCATTCATTCCACCAACCAGAAAACCAGTGGTACAACTTGTACATGTGAACTCGTAACATTGACAAATAATAAAAAACCCTCAAGTTTTACAACTCAACTAAGGGAGCACTTATGCCCAACAAGAGTTATAGTCACCAACAAAGTCTTATTGCAAGCCAACAACAACTTCAGTGCATGGCATATGAAGATCAAGCTATTCAACTCTTTTGCATTTGCTTTAGACATTTCTCCTTTGTAATAATGCAAACACTACAAATCGTAGAAAGCTTCACACACTCTTGATGAAGACAGTGTGAAGCAAAACCAATTTATGGTGCCAACAAGAGCTTCATTAATGGAGGGCAACCACAATTCTCAAAAGCTTCACACACTCTTGATCAAGACAGTGTGAAGCAAACTCAATTTATGGTGCCAACAAAAGATTCATCAATGAAGGGCAACTACAACTCGTAGAAAGCTTTACACACTCTTGATCAAGACTGTTCGAAGCAAATTCAATTTATATGGTTCATCAAACCTTTGACTACTACAAGGTGTGGCTTGCATCACAATCTCTTACTCAACAGTGTGGAAGGAAAATTTGTATATGTTGTCTCTCCTACATTTTCAAATTTCTAATTTTCCCAAAAAAAAAAGAAAAGGAAATTGGGAAATTCAACAAAGCTTCATCAATGGAGGACAACTACAAATTCTTAAAAGCTTCACACTATCTTGATCAAGATAGTGTGAAGCAAAATCAATTTATGGTTTCACCACAAAAGCTTCACCAACAAAAGCTTCATTAATGGAGGACAACTACAAATTCTCAAAAGCTTCATACTATCTGATCAAGATAGTGTGAAGCAAAATCAATTCATGGTACCCAACAAAAGCTTTAACTCTAAAGCTTCACCTACAAAGCTTCAACTCCAAAGCTTCACCTATAAAGCTTCAACACAAAAGCTTCACCAACAAAAGCTTCATTAATGGATGACAACTGCAAATTCTCAAAAGCTTCACACTATCTTGATCAAGATAGTGTGAAGCAAAATTAATTCATGGTACCCAACAAAAACTTCAACTCCAAAGCTTTACCTACAAAGCTTCGACTCCAAAGCTTCACCTACAAAAACTTCAACACAACAACTTCACTCACAAAAGCTTAACCCACAAAAACTTAACCCACAAAAAGCTTGACCCACAAAAGCTTCATCTACAAAAGCTTGACCCACAAAAGCTTGACCCATAAAAGTTTGACCCACAAAAGTTTCACCTACAAAGTTTCAACACAAAAGCTTCACCTACAAAAGCTTCACACACTCTTGATCAAGATAATGTGAAGCAAAATCAATTCATAGTACCCAACAAAGCTTCAACCTCAAAGCTTCACCTACAAAGTTTCACCTACAAAGTTTAAAATATATATATATATATATATATATATATATATATATATATCAGAAATTCGAAATTTCGAAAATTCGAAAAAAAAAACCAAAAAAAAATAAAAAAATTTTGCCTAGGCCTCATCTTCTTTGAGCTTAACAACTTTTATAACAAATATATATGAATGAGGAGTTTTGGACTACCACTTAGAAAGGAAAATGGTGAAGTTTTGTTACTTTAGAAGCTTGGTTACTAGCAAGACACCTCCTTCGTCAACTCCTTCGACCGGAGACTTGGGGGACTCATACCATGT